TAAGGTTCTGTCCTTTCAGCCTCCTTCTGGACGGGAGCTTCTTTAAAAGGCTGGCTGCAGTTCGCCATCTTGGCTCCGCCCCAATAATTATATTTGTTAACGTGAAAATCTTTTCATAAGACATTAAGCTAAAAAGATTATAAAATATATGATTCCAACCTAGTGGTTTCACAAACTCTGTGTAAAATATTCTATATTTATATCTATCTATATTATCTATATTTACACTCAAAAGGTTACAGATCTAAGTGAAGATACTATAATTATGGGTCTGGGTGGTGGGACGAGTGCTTCTTTTACCTTCATTTTTATTATCTATATTTTCCAATAATGTTTGTTTGATTTAAGAGGCACTGAAATGCCACATGATATTGCAGTGATGAGTATCAAAAAGCTACTGAGAAAGCTAATGAGAAAAATTACACTAAATTAATAGGCAAAATCCAAATACAACAGTGTTTGGGGGCATTAGAACAGGCCTCCCAGTCTTCTGTGCTTTCACAACTTCTTCTTGTTCCTTTTCTGTTAGTAAAATTAGGCAAATAAGAATATCTTCCTTATAGGGACACTGAGTATTAAAGAGCTATTCTATGCAAAGTTCTCAGAATAGTGAGAACAGTCCAAACAGGAGGAAGATGTGAAAGCAGAGAATATTGCAAAATTTACTCATGAGCCTATGTATTCAGCTGGGGTGAAAGAGCATCAACCTAATAAAGGGACTTTGGAATTATATGTATATAGGACATAGTTTGGCTTGAAACAGGAAGCAAAGCAGACCTATAAAACTCAGGTAAATAGCTGACACTGGCACAGAGGGTGGAGAAGAGAAAGAGAGAAATTACAGAGGTGGCAAAGGAACAGGTAAGTCCACTGAAACTTCCTTGCCTGTCTCTTTGCCCAGATCAATGGGCACAAAGAGGGATGGTGTATCTTTGGAGCATCTTGGACGTATTCCATCCTCTAGACTGGGGAGATAAAACAAATTCTTGTGTCTGTGTTGGGATCAGTAGACAAATGAGGGACTATAAAGCCATGAGATGAGTGAAACAGGAAAAAAAGGAAATAGGAAAGGAATGAAAAACTCAGCTGCTATAAAAGTGGTAAAAGGGACTGCAAGAAAGAAATTTCAAAAGCTAGTGCTAAGAAAGGAGACATTGTGGGTCCAACTTATGCCATTCCAGGAACAGTGTCAAAAGAGAGGTGGCAATGCCCGGATGATGATGTGGCTACCAGAGCCCTACATAGCACAGCAGAAATACCCAAGCACTTGGTTTTGTAATACATTTTCATTCAGGCACTTCATTCTGGCAAAAAAAAAAAAAAAAGATGGGGGAAACATCATTCATTTTCTCTAGATCATCATTTGGAGAAGTTGATATACCTGTATACCTGTGGATTTCTCAGGTGATTTTGTGGAAACAACTCCGTTCTACGTCTACTGTGTACGTTGCACAATACGCTATTAGATATTCTCAAAGAGAGCAGTCATCTTCACTCTGCTAAAACTGAATTTAATGTGACACCAAGGGAGAAAGAAAGGAGAAAAAGTAAAATTTTTGAATTTTTATTAGAAATATTTATTTGAAATTTAATCAAAGCGCAAATGGGGAGCTTTTCTTTTACCACTATAATCTCATTCTTTTGATCTAGTTGGATCTTCTATTTTTTATGTATTTCTTGTCCTTAAAATAATGGCAGTTATTCTAATTTTGGAAAAGACAACTAATGGTAAATATCTTACCAACTGTCAAGAGGAAAATTGCACTAAGTCGAGAGGTAGACGAAATCTATTAAAAGAGTCTATTTATTAGTGTCCCTTTTCTTGTATCGTTTACAGGATTATCCCCATTTCAATGGAATAATCAATTATCCTCTCAAGTATGTTAGTTGTTCACACATTAAGTCATTTGGATATAAACTAAAAAGATTGGAGGTGGCTCAGATCGTTGATTGTTTTCATGAAACCAGAACTTGACCCAGTACAAATGTATCCTGAGACTAGCCATAATTTTATAGACCTAGCCATTGCTAATCTGGGTTCTATTTGAAATATATAGATCTTTGTCCAGAAACTAAATAGCAGATTTGAAATGAGAAATTGTTGATGAATAAATTAATTGTCTTGAACTTTTCTTATCAAATTTCTCAAAAGACCAAAAAAAAAAAATGCAATGCTTAACAGCATAGGAGTAGGTAATGAACTCATACACTTGCAGAAACATGGAAGAACTGTTCAACTGTATCCCTTTCAAGAAAATTCTTCTTCTGATTAATTACTGTACCCTGAGCCTCCATCTCCTATCTCTGATCTCTTGGTATTCTTTTGAAGTTCAACCCTTTGAATAAACTTTTCACATGGCCACACCTACTGCTTAAAACAAGATATAAGACCCTGGGCTCTAATAACAAAATAATAACTACCTTCTACCAAGCACTTGCCGCATGCCAGGCACTGTTCCAAAAGAGCTACTCAAGTTAGGATCATTTGGTCTTTATATCAACTCCTTTAAATGGCGTCATCTGTTATTTTACAGTTGAGACATAAGAACAAAACAGGATGCAGATTAAGAGACTTATTCAAAGCCCCAGAGATAGTGAAGTAGCAGATTAAGGATTAGAAAAGAGGGCTGGAGCAACATTTGGCCACAGAAACCAGATCCACAGGGTGCATGACTTCATGTTCTCAAATTTTACTTTAGAGTTATAGGGAATCACTCCAAGATTTGCAGCTATGAAACTGTTTGTTTTTCCTTATTAAAATAAGCTTTTGCTAAAATTTGTTTCTATTTTGAAGAAATAATCAGTTTGCAATCAGATATTTCAGAAATGCGTTTTCTCACTCTTCACCCAGTTTTCAGTCATTTTCAGCTATATCTAGCATCTTAGGGTAAGGGTCATGAGTATAGATTCGGGATTCAATTGTCTCACTATGAAATAAGGATGACATTAGTACAGTACCTACCTCATGGGGGTCTAATAAGGAGCAAGAGAGAGAATTTTTCCACGCACTTAACATAGCATAATACAGTCATCCTGGGTAGCTATCACAGGCACTATTCTGAGAACATTGCATAGAATAACTCTTTAATACTCAGAGTGTCCCTATAAGGAAGGTATTCTTATTTGTCCCATTTTACAAACAGAAAACAAGGCAAGGATGGGTTAAGAAACTTGCCAAAGACTGTAGCTGATGTCAAAACCAGACTCTAACCCCAAATTCACACGTCTAAACGTGAAAATCTATAGCCCCTATTGTGACCATAGTCAGTGTCTAATAAATGTTAGTTCTCAAGACAGTTCACCTGAGGTTTGCTAAGGAGAGGCCTTACTAAGGTCATTACTGAGTCACCAAGAAGTCATCAATCTGATTTATAATTCAGTTTTGTTGCTGGGTTGTTGTAAGAGCTGAGTTGATGCCCTGTCACTGAGTTGGCTGGAGGACAAGCTGCAAGAATTCACAGGGAAGCTGTATGACTGCAGTGGGGGACGCAGAACTAATTGTCAAGTGTTCCATTTCTGAGTCCTATCAGTACCACACAAATTTCTGTATAGCCTTGATCATGTCCTTTAACTCCTCTTAGCTTCAATTTCACATCTGTAAACCAAGGTATGTGAGACAGCATAATTGGAAGAGTTCCTTCCTACCTTGAAATGTCAGGATTCTATGAGCACAGGTTCTGAATAAGTGTCCCTGTTAAAACACAAGTGCGCAATATACCAACAGGTTATTCATATTATTCGTACTTTATACCAAGCATGAGGGTATTTATTACTGCTACTTTCTTGATATTCATGAAGTACAAGAAAATAGCTTGGGAAACAAGGTTTCAACAACAGGAATCTAAAAACACCAAAGACAATTTTTTTAAGTGTCATAATTTTTTTCAAGGATTATAAGTAAATCTTGTCCATAACTAGTTGTGCTGGTTTATTCCAACAAAATTTCCCTTGGCCACATGGGACTCAAGATGCTTTAAACTTCCACAGGGGCAGATATGAATAAGAGATCTCGAGTCATTTTCTCAAAAAACAAGAGAATTAACTTAAGTGGCTACATACAAATTATCTACTTTTCCAACTACTAAAAAATAATTTTCACCTTGGCCTGCTTTCCTTGCCATCCAATTGTATTGCTGATTCTTGTACGTGTATTAGTCTTCTATTTGTTGCTGTAACAAATTCCCACAAACTTACTGGCTTAAAACAACACACTTTTTTATCTGATGGTTCAGATAAAGGTCAGAAATTCAACACTATGTTTGCACAACTAAGGCCAGGTCTCAGCAGAGCTGTGTTCCTTTCTGGCAGCTCTAAGGAAGGATCTGTTTCTCTGTTTTATCCAGCTGCTAAAAGCCAGCCATATTCCTTGGCCTACAGATGCCTTCCTCCATTGTCAAGGCCAGCAGTACAGCATTTCTCCAACCCCACTTCCGTAGGATCTTCTCTTTCTCTTACTTTCTTCTGCCTCCCTCTTACACTGTAATGGGCCCTTGTGATCACATCGGGCCCACCCAATAATCAGCACAATCTCCCTATTTTAAGATCAGTAGCTTATTAGCAATCTTAATGACACTCACCACCTTAATTCCCCTTTGCCATGTAGCCTACCGTATTCACAGGTTCCTGGATTTGAATGTAGACATCTTTGGGAAGGGTTTTATGCTGGCAATCGTAGTCTCTTCTTTCTGTTGTCTTTCAGATACAGGGAAGACACACACACACACTCCCATGTGTACACTTTACAAAATCAAATGAAAATTGGAATCACTTTACAAAGTCAAATGAAAATCATCTTCCCCTCCTTCACTTATTCCAAATTATAGGTGATACAGGATTCCAGTGTCAAATGAGAATCATATTTACATCAGTTGTCAATGCCCATTGTCTGCTCACTTGCTCTCTTCCATCAGCATAGAGTATTGACATTTAAGAAGATTTTCTTTTGTTTCTTTTCTGGGAGAATGGATCACTTTGGTGTGTTTTGTAATACTTGGGACACAATGATGTCATCAACGCCAACGAGCTGCCATAAAGTTCATTGCACAATACCCAAGCCTGACCCAGCAAGCCGCTTTATGGCTCGCAGGTTTCAACAGCCTCCAGGTTCAATAAACAAAGGAAACCAAGCTCAGGGTGACCAGCCTCCCTTCATCACATCACCAGGAATCATTGCTGGCAGTCATCGAAGTCAAGAAAATACACAAACGATAAATCCAGCTTTAGGAACAGTGTCAACAAATTTTACAGAAAAAGCAAAGAAACTAGGGGTAAGTATTTTTACTAATGAAATTTTAATCACACATCTTCAAGATTTTCTTGTACCTATAATAGGTAGAGAGAATAGCAACCTATTATTACACCTCTCTTTGCAGGAAACTCTCTCTTTTTAGGTAGAAATAGTTACATAGATCAAGTTCATTTTATTTTAGATTCAAGAAAGAATCTAAGAGGTGACAGAGGATTTTAATATTAGTATGAAAATTTTATAATACTCACATGATAAGAACACCACTACTTCTAGCTAGATCTCACTGCTGCAAAGGATTTTTTGGACAACCCCAATCCTGGATTGGTTGGAAACTGGTATTTGTATATGGGTGAGTTCACAGTAAAATGAAAATTAAATGGCTGCCTTAAAAGAGGAGAAACTACAAGCACGCAGTGTGGTGAAGGCTGAGTGTGAAAGAATTAGGGAACCTTCTATATGTGGCGTATCACTAGTACCCTTGGAGATGCTGTGACTTAACTATCACCTTACTTCTGCAAAGGGCACTTTGAACTGAACACCTTATTACTATAGGGATTGTAAAAATGTGCCCTACTTACAGGTGAAGTTTCCACCTGCCTAGGAAGAATTGTTTGTCCCTTTGCTGTCCTTTCCAGATATCTCATTCACACCCCTAATGGAATTCCACCAACTTGTATTAAATCTCTCCCCATGAGCAGCTCCAAATTTTCTGTTATATCACTCTGTAAATTATATTTAGTGCCCATTATGAACCAGAAACTCTTCTAGTAATCTCACAACCTATTTCAAGTTTTGATGCCTTGGGAAAGTAAAAATAAGAATCAGTTCCCCTCTAGGAGCCCAGCTAAGCTGTGGAGGCAGCTCTCAGGAGCAGATGGAAGAAATCCCCTTCCTCCTACTAATCAGATGGGACAAACTAGCACATACAGCTGAGCCCACACAGACTCCACACAGGTGTTGGAAACATCAAAGAGCGCCAGGCTCTACACATACTACAGGAGGAAAGTGCATGGTGTGTCAATTACAGCTAGGATGTCACCTAACAAATACAAACAATGTAACTTAATCATATGTACCCTTATATTAATCCAAAATTTAAAAAAATTAAAAAGGAAAACTAAAAAAAAAAAGGTATTAAACAATGTAGAGAGAATAAAGAAGTATAAAAAGGATAAGAAGTACCAGGCAGTGAGGGGGTACTGCCAAGTTGATTGGGGTGGGCTCTCCTGGGTACTCAATATTTGAGCAAAGACATGAAGTTAGGAGTGAACCATGCCCACATCAAGACAAGAGGAAACCAGTATAAAGGTCTTTGGCTGAAAATGTGTGTGATGTGTTTGAGGAACAGGGAAGAGGCCAGTAAAGCAGAACAGAATGAGCAAGGGAGGGAGCAGCTGGCAGGAGGGCAGCGGGCGGCAGAGGCCAGATCCACTGAGGCCTGGAGACCCATGACGGTTTGGCTTTTACTGAATGGATTGAGAAGCCACAGGAGCATGCTGCCTGGTATGAAGAGGCATGTAAAAAAATACTTTAAAAGTTTTTGCTTTGTAAAAGCTCTACTTGGCAGAAGCTACTTCCTGTCCCTAAAGATTGTACATCTATACCATTAACAGCCCCCAGTCACCACTACAGTGTGGGGCCACAGGTGGCAGGGTATGGCGCGTCAGCACCAATTGACTCAGAACTTAAAGTGCCTCTGTGGCCAAAAATGCGGGCAAATTATTTGTCCAATTTTTTTTTTTTTTTGAGACAGAGTCTCACTATGTCACCCTCAGTAGAGTGCTATGATATCACAGCTCAAAGCAACTTCAAACTCCTGGGCTTAAGTGATTCTCTTGCCTCAGCCTCCCAAGTAGCTAGGACTACAGGTGCCTGCCACAGTGCCCGGCTATTTTTTTTTAATTTTTTAATTTCTTATAGCATAACTGTGTACATTAATGCAATCATGGGGTACAGTGTGCTGTTTTCATATACATTTTGAAATACTCTCATCAAACTGGTTAACATAACCTTCATGTCATTTTCTTAGTTATTGAGTTAAAACGTTCATACTCTGCTTTTAGAAAGATTCACTTGTACCCTTGTAAGATAAACCATAGATGTGACCCCATCAATCTCCCTCCCTCCCCCCATCTACTCCCCTCACCTCCCCCTCCCACCCCCTTCCCATATTCTAAGGCTATAATTAGGTTATGACATTCCTATAAAAGCTATGAATTAGTTTCAAAGTAGGGCTGTGTACATTGGATACTTTTTCTTCCATTCTTGAGATACTTTGCTAAGAACATTTTCCAATTCCATTCATATAAACATGAAGGAGGTAAAGTCTCCATCCTTATTTAGGGATGCATAGTATTCCATGGTGTACATGTACCACAATTTATTGATCCATTTGTGGGTCAATGAATGCCTGGCTATTTTTTGTTGTTGTTTTTTTAGGGGTCCAGGTCAAATTTGAAACCCCAGCCGTGGTGAATGTGGCCAGTGCCCTACCTGCTGAGCTATGGGTGCCACACTTGTCCAAACTTTTAAATCACTACACGTAATTTTGATCAATACATGGTTCAGTCAGGGCTATTGAGAGAAGAAGGCTGACGTGAGTCCAAGATCTAACTGCCCCTTATCAAGATGACAGGAAGGATGAGATGAGGAGTCTGCAGTCACGGGACTAGATTGCTGCTCTAGAGAAAAGCTTGTTAAAAACAAATAAGAAGTCTAATGCAGGAGCTCTTCCAGTGAGATTGACCAAACAGTCTGTCACCACTAGGAAGTTGTGTGTGGAAGTATGGTGTCCATGTGCACGGATGTGTAGGAAGAATTTTTCAGGGAGAATAAAAAAAAGTTCATAAGTTTTATCTGAATCTCAAAGAACTTCATTATTCAAAAAAATTGAACTTGGCATTATTTATGAACCCAGATTCTTTCCCCCAATGTTACTTCAATTTAATTGTATTCAGTGGATATTTTTTGAAAAAATAAACACAGCGATCTTTGTATTTGCAATCTTCCTGGACAGATAAGACATACATATTGGAAGCAATGAAGTACATAAATCTATAATCAACTTTTAGAATAATCTACCAACGGCTCTTTCTCAGAAATTTATGTTTGTCTAGGATTAAGAAAGGTAAGAAGAGGTACAAGGGAGTAAAAGATATATCCCTTATCTCTGGGGATGTGTCTCTTGATTGATAAAATTCTTTCATAACTGAAATTTCAAAAAAAACGAACAATATAAATCAGTATAAAGCCAAGTAAAAAGGTACATTATATAGCATGAGATACAACATAAATCTAGGAAGAAAGAGAAAAGGTTAATTTGACTGGTATAATCAGAAAGACTGCATGGAACAGGTGGAGCTGACACGAACCTGAGAGAGAAGGGTACCAGAGGGCTCCCCAGACAGATGTCAACTCTGGAGTCAATTTGCTGCAGTAAATTCTCAGATCTTCCCCTTAGTAACTGGGGACATTGGACACCTAATTTCTTTATGTATCTGTTTCTCTATAAAATTATTTTTGCACAAAAAAATAACGGTATTTAGAACATAACCAAGCACATAAGATGATTCTATCTTCATTGATTCCTTTACCTATAACTGGTATTACCCAAGCAGAGAAGTAATTTGTTTGAACAATACAGTCATTGAAGTTACAGTGAAACTGTTGTATTTTTTCCTAACAATCTTTTAGAGGGTTCTCAGGAAATTTCAATGCATGGTTAAGCAATTGTGTTTTCAGAAGAACTTTCCTCGGGCCACCCCAGCTAGCTAGTCTCCCCAAATGCCTCAACAAGTCCTTATGCTGAGGTTCTAGCGCACCCCCACACACACACTATTATTCTAGTGCCTGTCAAATCTTCACGGCCTGCCTCCTGCTTACAGCACATGCCTAAATGACGCCCATGGATATTGGCAATATATAAGCAATTAATAAGCAGGGGTACGGACAATAGTAATGTTTCATAGGCCCAAAAGTGATTAAGCAACTTTTAAATGGCTGCTTGCTTTTTTTTTTTTTTTTCAGGCAATCCAGATCATAATTGGATTGATGCATCTTAGTTTGGGAATGATTTTGGGCACAGTATGCCTCCCTGCAAACATTCCCTCCATTACTTTCACTGGTGGATATTCATTCTGGGGAAGCTTCTGTGTAAGTACATTGATAGGATTCCTCTCCTTCTCAGACTATAAAGCATATCTCCAGCTAATTCACAACCCATTTCTGGATAAGCTCTGCATCTGTGGGCCAGAGAATTTAGAGCAATAATCACTCTGATTGGACATAAAATACAGAAAATGTACTCCCTATCTGAACTAGAAGCTTAAGCCTATGTCCTAAAGTTTATTATGATCAAGTAATCGGCAAGCCAAATTTTTAGTTCCTTATTATATTTTAGATGGAAATGTACATGCTGGGTGGAGAATGGCAAAGAAGGTGACCAGAAACATGACTAAAAATATGTAATAGATGACAAGAAGAGGTGAAGCGGTAAGCCCAGGAGTCACCAGAACAAGGAAAGCTTTTACGTGCACAGTTCTTCATGTGCAATAAATTAAGGAGAAAAAATTTAAAAAGGAGCCAAGAACATATCCCTGAGAGTTATTCCAGAAAACTGAGAAGCACAAAAGGAAATTTTAAGAAGGAAACTAGATGAATACAAATAGCCCAAATGTTCATACAAAGAGAAGTTCTCAAGCTCAACCAGAGAACCCACCATTTCACACATTTGTCTATTTCTACAGTTCACTGTTTCTGGTAGTTTCTCTGTATCAGCAGCCAAGCGCTCTTCCCCTCGTGTGGTAAGTTGAAATGTTTCTAATTTTTAAACCCCTATAAAGATTAGTTTAATTTATTGGAGAGGGAAATTGAAAAAGCAGATTTAGAAAATGGGAATGGGTACATATTTCCCAAAATACCTGTTGGTCGTTTTCACGGTCTGGAATGGGGGAATGGTTCACACAATTGGCCACTCAGAAGTGGCAGTGCTCATATCCTGACACATTCACAAGGGTGGGAAGTAATAAAGATAAAGCTTCTTTAAGCTTTAACCTGAAAGCTTCCTAGTTTATTCAGGTCACAAAAGCAGAATCCAGGAACCAGGAAACGCTGACTCACTACTTCAGTAACAAAATCTCTGCTATTCACGTGTCATTGCTCAGCTCTGCCTTGTGTTGTTATTTTTCATTTGTGCATATCACCTATTCTTATTCAGATTGGGTTTTTGTTTTACAATTCTGGAAATCACCATTAAAAGCATGTAGCTTGTTACATAAGAAGAATTGATACAAATAATCACTTAGACAAGGCTTTCAATTCTCTTAGTCATAGCAACCCAGCTACTTCAAATTCTTGGTCTGTACCACAAGGAAGAAAATGATTTGTTTGGAACTAGAGCCAACTAAAGCAGTTTGGCAGTTATATGTAATCCAACAGAAGAGGAAAGGATGGGCAAATGGGGACATGGAGTGGTACGGCTCACACTCTTCCAGACATAACCAAAACAAAATAATTAAATTAAATTAAATTAAAATCAGCCTAATCGGGATTATCCAATCCTGTTGTAATCCAATAACAAAATAAAACTCTTCTGCATCCTTTATGAGTCCCTTCCTCTCCCTGAGATTGTCCAAACATAGACCCTGTCCTTTGGGAGAAAAGAAGCACTGAAACTTATTTAAGGTAATTCTTCTCAGAGCTTTGTGGAGCCCTTCAGGAGATGCTAAGGTATGGTGCTACAACTTAAAGAACTTGACCGTACCACCCACAGCAAATCAGCTGAGGACTTGGTTTCATAATTATTCTGCTTTATGTCAAAATCCCATTGTAGAAACTGACAGAGTCACCCACACCTCTACCCACAAATGCTGAAAGAGTTTCTCCTTCTAAATTTGAGGTTCTTTACCTTGTCCCTAGAGAGACTTTGGGGTATTTCTTAATTTCTAAAATTATTAGTAAAACTGTTATGTCTATATACCTTCCTATCTATAAAATCATGTGCTGTAGTCCTACCTCATACAATGGGTGTAAGAGTTAAATAAGATAATGTATTTAGATAATGCATTTCAATAATTTAATATTAAATTAAATATTATTTGTGTATTATACACAAATTCTCATTAAAAATATATTTGTTCTTTGTTTTTATAAAGAAAATATAGTTGTTATTGTGTATGCGGCTTTTAGATAAATATAAGAGATGAGCTCTAGCCTTACATTTTTGGTACTGCCTGTTAGAAGTACCCTACATCTAGACTACATATTGAGTAATTTTTATGGTAACTTCCCAGAAGAGCAGAAAAAAAAATCATTTCAACTTGAAAAATTGTACCAGAACTTCCAAGGTTAATACCCATTAAATCTGATTGACTCTTTTCATTTAATTTCATGGACTCTAAATCCCGCATGTAATTTATTTTTCTTGTCATCTTGACTAGATAAGAGGCAGTCTGGGAATGAATATTGTTAGTTGTATCTTTGCCCTTACTGGAGTGAGCCTGTTGGTGATGGATATGTACATCAATGTCACATTAGACCAAAGCAATGTGATGGTGGTAAGTAGCATAATCTAGCACATGCCTGTTCTCTTTCCACTCCCATGGAGTGGGTCTTTTGTCTTTTATTACTGTACATCAACTCTAGTGGAAAATCGTTTTCTCTTCCGGCTCTATCCCTAGTCAAATAATCTCTAGCACTATTGAACCAAGTGAGAGAGTCACCTCTGCAAATAGGCTCAGCAGGAAGGGCATCCTTTTTTGTTCCACCTCACTGTTAATCACATAAACAATAAGGAAAGGTTTAAGAGAGGCCTCCAGGACTCCTAAAATTGCCCCAGAATTATTTTCCAAAGGTTTTTGGAAATTCTATATACATTTTGGAATTTATATAAATTTTGAAATTCCATATAAATAACATAGTCAATTTATTGAATGGCTTTTTTTTTCTTGCAAATAAGAATGAGGTGAGAGAAAAATAGGAGTGACAAGAACATCTGATTTCTACTAAAGACCCAAATAATGAAGCAGATGTAAAATGTGGCACATGCCTCTGAATGTGCTCAAAACAAAATCACCTGTTCATTATCATTATATAGGCCAACCAGGGACTCTGTCTCAGAAAGAAACTGGTGACCTAAAGACCACAATTCTTAAAACCTATAAAGATGGAGCAACATGGCATAAAATGAGGCTGGACTAGAAAGTGTAATCCTGCCCCACAGCCATCTTAAGGATTTTAATCTTCATTCTGAGAGCAAGAGGAAGCGAGAGAAGGGGTGTTTTAGGTTTTGGTTTTGGTTTTTTGGAGGGGTTGGGCTTTTTGAGGTTGTATTCACTTTTAAAAAGCAGAGTCTATTAAATTGGTGTGGCTTACATATATCCTAAGAAATGGAATGTATCTTTTATGGCTAGAAAATAGAATATTAGACAACATTAACATGCTAGGCACAGTGGCTCACATTTGTAACAATCTTAGTTCTCTGGGAGGCTGTGGCAGGTGGATTGCTTCAGCTCAGGAGTTTGAGACCAGCCTGAGCAAGAGCAAGGCCTCATCTCCTCTAAAAATTTAAACTAGCCTGGCATTCTGGCAGGTGCCTATAGTCCCAGCTACTTGGGAGGCTGAAGCAAGAAAATCTCTTGCATCTAAGAGATTGAGGATGCTGTGAGCCGTGATGACACCATCGCACTCTACTTAGGGCCACTAAGTGAGACTCTGTCGCAAAAGAAAAAATGATAATATTTTGAACAGACAGCCACAAAATATTTCTGTTATCAGTTCATTCAGTACCATGTAAATGTAAGTAATTCCAGTCCACTAGATCTTAAAGTAGCCAAGTTCTAAAGCCACATGCTTAACTAAAGGATTCTGGAATCCTGGCTCCAGGCACTGGTATGACCTGAACAAGATGTCTGTTACTTGAAGCGTCAATAGTTTGAAGCAGCTGGCACACTCCTTTTCCATCAGGCTCTGAGATTGTTCTTTGCTAAAGACACAAAAGAGTTTTAAGCATGGAACCGGAATGATGACATTTGGGTTTTGAAAGGACCACTCTTTTTGCAATGTAAAGAAAAGTTTTTAAGGAGGCAAAAAATAGATAAGAGGGCCTCTTGATGAATAAGACAGAGTGAAAGAAGAACACAAAATTCATCCTTTAAAATAAAAAACACAGGCCAGGCACAGTAGCTCATGCCTATAATCCTAGCACTCTGGGAGGTCAAGGCTGGAGGATCACTTGAACTCAAGAGTTCAAGATCAGCCTGAGCAAGAGTGAGACCCTGTCTCTAAAACCTAGGTGGCCATCATGGCAGGCACCTGTAATCCCAGCTACCTGGGAGGCTGAGGCAAGAGGATTACCTAAGCCTGAGAGTTTGAGGTTGCTGTGCACTATGATGATTCCATGGCACTCTACTGAGAGTAACAAAGTGAGACTCTGTCTCAAAAAAAAAAAAAAAAAAAAATGGCTTTTGTATAGTGGTACCCAAACAGAGAAACAAATAGTTCTGATGGGACTCAAGGTGGCAGAAGGAAATAGCTCCTATACCTGGCTCTTGTTTTCCCAGAAACAAGACTGAATGGAAGCTAAAAAGTACTGAGAAGTTTTTCTAATGCTCTGAAAAGACTGAGGTAGAGGGCAATCTATTCTGAGAAAGACTAAAACAAACCCTGCATGGAAGCAGCCCATGGGTAGCACCCACCACACCCAGAGACGTAGGAGAGGGCACTGTCTCCCAGGGCACTTTGCTAACATGGCGGGGTGCAGAGAATTCCACAGAAGTAGAATCTGCCTCCAGCAATGCAGCAGGCCTGGATATTGGACACATAGCAGACTCTCAGAAGAAAGAAAAAGCAAAGTGCATGTTCAGTAGCAGGCACCGTGCTTAGTGCTGGCTAAGCTAACTCTCTCCCTGCAACACCTGCATGATTAACATTGAGGAAAGTGGACAGGAAGCAATATTTAGTGTTCAAGTTGTAGATGGAAACAAGGAAGACACATGGGACCCAGTGGAAGTGTGAATCAAGGAAAATTCACCTGCACTATATCTGATCAAATAGAAGGCCTATGCAGAGTTCAAGTAAACTGAAGACAGTAGAACCTCTGTAAGTTGAGAACTGTAACAAACTGGTCATCATATGGAAGTGGTCAACATAAGGAACTAGGGCTACTGAAGTGGTGCCTGTCCAGTCTATGAAAATTAGGCCAATTTAAGGAGGTGGTCAGTGTAGGGAGGTGGTCAACTATGGAGGTTCGACTATACTTTTATTTCAGAACAGGAATAACATGATTCTCTTCTTAAAGAATGATGTTTCTCCTTTGACCTTGTTATCCTCTTGTGTTAGTTTTCCACACATACCCCTTCTTCTATCTGCCTTTTCGTCTATATAGAGAATAGAATAATGGTCATCGAATGTTCATTTTGGCATTTGGAATGACTAGTCTGTTTCTATGTTGGTTAAGGATTTTTAATGAGTGGGTAACATTTTAATAAACACATGGGGGCCACTTCAAAGAAAAAAAATACCACCTTTTAAACATCTTTAAATGAAAAAATGTACTTGCTGAAAGGAAAGTCTCCTGGTATTTTTAAAACAACTCAAAATAAATTCACCCCTGCAATAAGCATTTGGTGATAATGAAGACACAATCACTGAGCAAGTTGAGTATGAAGAACAGCACATTTGTTGAGTTAATAACTTTTTGAAACCTGTGTGAGGTCCTCCTAGTAAGCAAAATTTCACTGAGTTTATTTCTGGTTTCAGATTCTTCGAAATGTCATTTTAGCCGTGCTGTTCATCATCTCCATCTTGGAGTTCTGCATAGCCTGTGCCACTGCCCATTTTGTCAGGCAATCTATCTGCAACATCAGTAGGGTGAGTTGGGTCTCCTCTGTAAAATAATCTGAATACACGCAAGAGAATACAGACTCGTGTCTGCTAAATCCCACTATGAACTTACCAAATTGTTCTTTGTCCTTGACTGTGCTGGGACCAGGGAAAACTCAGTAGCCTCACAGTAACAGTATTTCTTGTTTCTATTCATTCTTTCCAGTCTGTTCCAGTTGTTCCAACTGTGTATGCAAACAACCCCTTGCCACCAGAGTTGTCTTCTCCTCCTCCCAGAAATGAAGGCTACCTATATCCTGAGGTATTAAAAGAAAAAGAGGCATCAGTCTATTCTCATGCAGTAAAACCACCCTCAGAAACTTCTTAAGAGAATGTCTTTTATGGTCCATGATGATTTCTAATCTTTAAAGATTGTGTCTGAGATTTGTTCTTAGGTTGGTCCCTGATGATAATTCCATCTCCCTGTCACAGTCTCTATGTGCCATGACAGCACACTGGCAAAAGTGTCAGACTAGATGACTGAAAAATGACTCTACAACTCTCTTAAAGTTAGAAAATTTCCTGTTCATGTTACCTTTTCCTCAATAAAATGTCACTAGAAATATAAGCTGTCTTTAGTATTTTTTAAATTCATTTTGGTTTTGTATAGGTTGTAGAGCAAAACTTTGTAGATATTCAAGAGGCATGATGTTTGATGATATAAATATAGAGTATTTTCAGGTATATTAAACTCATTTGCAATGGGGCAATAGCAGGGCAAGGATGGTGCATTGAGGGGGTTTGATTTGAGCTTTCCTTTTTGGCGTGTTTAAAAGCCAGTGAGAACAACCCAAGTAAGAGAGAAGGGATGAATGACAGTGTAAGTTTCAAGAGATCAAAAGAAAGAGGAAAGAAATGGGTTTAAGTCATGAAGAAGGGCAGTTTCTCTATCTAACAGAAAGAAAGATTTGATTGTTGCCAATATCCATAGGTTTGCAGTAATGGTAGTGAGCACATAAGAAGGTTCCAATATGATGGCTCTTGTCATCCCTGTCAAAGCAGCAGTGAGGTCATGTCCATGATGGGCCACATGGGTAGTTACACCATTTAACACAATGAGAAATGTGGGAAAAGTCATGGAAATTAAGAAATAACCTGATCGGAGAAACAGAGGAAGGCTGTCAAGCTGTACTGAGAGCACTTTGAAGGGGTGATAGCATATTTATCATATGAACAAATTGTTCCAGCAGAGCTTGGATGCTCACATATGGACCCAGATTGAGTATCTATTTGATTACACTGCCCCTAGTGTGTTTGGTTTAAGTGTTTGATGCCCCTAACACCCACACTGTTCAAGGGTCAAATGTCTACTTTCAAATCTTGCTTCCTGGAAGTTACTGTTACCTTTTAATGGTACCTGGGAACCCCTAACTATTTAGAGCAGCCAGTCTTAACCTGTGGGTCACGATCCCTTTTTAACAATGAAAATACATTGGAGCATTAGGAAGGTTGAGAACCATTGATCTAGAGTATCAATTGCTTCTCTCCCTAACTTCTCTTTTAACTGGATGGTCAAATGATGCTAATAGAGTTCAGTTTCAACCACCTAAAATTTTTATTTGAGGTTCTTAAGAGCATGAAAAATACCTTAGCGATTTAAATAATACTGCAAGCATAAAGTGCTTATGTAAAGGATTCATTTAAATCAATGCTAAATTGCTTTTATTCAACTAGGAATGCTATTCATTCATTCATCCAATAAATATTTATTGAGTACCTACTTTGTACAGGGCAGTGGTCTGTGTACTTGAGAAAAATAGTCAAAAATTCTGTTTCTTGGAAGCTGATATGATCAATGCATTAGACTTCCTATGAAAAAAATAAAAACAAAGAAATTTGATTTTAAAGTTTAAGTCTTCTAAGTTTTATGAAAATATACCTATATTCTGAGATCCAAGAAGGTGACTGGGATAGAAATATATTCTAGCATGCAGGTCACAAGCCTACTAGTAATGTGTTACTATTTAAAGTCCTTATGATATTTTCATTCTGTAATTCTAAAAGAGTGTTCATTTACTCATTGATTTATTTTTTAAAAAATAAGTATTATACTACTAATTTGTGGCCAAACACTATGCTAAGTTAACTATTGCATGTTATTGCATAACATTTAGGCTTTACATATTTTTTTTTCATTTGGGGCAGTATCAGATGGGATGGAGTACTTGAAAGAGTTCATGGCACATAGTAGATACTCAATAAATATTTGTTGAATGAAAAATAAAAATAAAATGGGGCGGCAGCACCTGTGGCTCAAAAGGGTAGGGCGCCAGCCCCATATGCCAGAGGTGGTGGGTTCAAACCCAGCCCTGGCCAAAAACTGCAAAAAATAAAAAATAAAATGGGATAAAGTTGGAACTATCTCAATACCAGTGCTCAGATGCTTTTTTCTTACACAAGTAAGTAATGCTGGATTCGAGTACAAAGACTTTGCCTGAGAAATATGACCTAAGTTACACATATACACACATGCGTGCACACCCAACTGCATCCTTTACTCTGTGTCTTCCCTCCTCAGAAGGACAAAAGTGATTATTAGATCTTTAGGGTGTCTTCTAATTCTGAAATCTAAAGTTTTAGAGAAGATAAATAACTCATCATGGAATGCATGGGTTCAAGAGTTAGTTATGACCATGGAATACAATGCAGCCTTAAAAAAAGATGGAAACTTTACCTCTTTTATGTTTACATGGAGGGACCTAGAACATATTCTCCTGAGTAAAGTACCTCAAGAATGGAAGGAAAAGTATTCAATGTACTCAGTACTTCTATGAAACCAACTTATATTTACTCACACTTTCTTATGAAAGAAGAACACAACTATAGCCCAGGATGAAGGAGAGAAGTGGAGTGGGAAGGGAGGGTGGGGGGGGTTTGATAAGAGGGGGGTAAATGGCGGGATCACAACTATGGAGCACATTGCAAGAGTACAAGTCAAATCTGTCAAGTGTGGAACATAAATGTCTTAACACAATCAAGTAAATGAGGTGAAAGCTATGTTGATTGGTTTGATGTAAGCACATCAGATTGTACAAAAAAAAAACACACTGTACCCCACATATGCATAAATGTAATGTGTATATGACTTAATTAAAAAAAGTTATTTATTTTTCCAGAATCCATAAATATATCCTAGGTATGTATGTACTGTGTATGCATATATGTATGTATATGTGTGTGTGTGTAATCATATATAGTTGATCCATACCTGACCAAACATATTTCTGAAAGCTCTCTTTCCCACAGCATGATTGGATTTGTTCTAGTCCTTTAATAATCAATCAATCAATCACAATTTTCACCTTTTCTCATGCAGTAGATGCTGGCCAAATTGAGTTTTAATGACCAGGTTTAGCAACAGTCCTCAAACTTTTTGGCACCAGGGACCTGTTTCATGGAAGACATTTTTTCCAAGGACCAAGGGAGGGGGGCCTGGTTTCAAGATGATTGCATTTTATTTTGCACTTTATTTCTATTACCATAATATATGATGCACTGTAATGCAGAATCAGTGGGAGCTCTGAGCTTATTTTCTGGAAACTAGATGGTCCCTTCTGCAGTGCTGGGAGACAGTGACAGATGAAGTTTCACTCACTTACCTTGCCACTGACCTCCTGCTAGGCAGCCTATTCCTAACAAGCTACAGACTGGTCCACGGCCTGGTGGTTGGGGACTGCAAGGGTATAAGGTGCAGAGCATCCCTAGGCATCTATTTACATGTGTGACCAAGGAAAAAGTCCTATGGAAATTTTGAGTTCAGGTATCTGAAGCTCCAGCTTTAAGTACCAGGAAATGGAGTCCAGTGACCAGAACAGGTCTGATTCCTGTGGAGAAAGGGATGTGCTCTCATGAGGAAGACTGAAGACAGCACAACACTGCTTGAACAGCTCCAAGGCTCTGGAGCATGGGGGCCCTGGGAGGGAGCACCTGGGCAAAGCAGCCTTCTTCTGGAGAAGGTGCAGCACAGCCTGAGAAGCCTAAGAAGCAGATGCAAAGTGGTGGCTCTTCACACACTGCAAAAGCTCAGCAGAGACTTGCTGGAGAACACATGTGGAAAACTCTGAGGCCTCCCATAAATACTTTGGGGCAGGGAGGGTTGCAGGGAACTGATGTCATTCTTTTGCAAATATGTATGCAAATGAGGCAAATTTGGCCATGCAGCCAAATGGAAAAGACTTCTGTATCAGCGAGTTGGAAAAACTGACTGATTTTTGCCTTTCCCCTTTCTTTTTCCATTTAAGACAAAGTCTTCCTCTCTCCAGACTATTCTCTGTAAGACATTTTTTAATGTTTAACCTTTGATTTTTCTCTCCTGACTCCCTTCATCCCCATTCTTCAGTAACTTGGCTTCATTCTTAAAAACAAATAGCTGTCTATTCAATTCTACCAGCTCAGCAGAGTTCAACAGCTGTCACTCAATTTCTTTCTCGGCACATGTTCCCAGGGGTAGCTACCCAATTCAAGTCTCATTCACAACTGGACTTTGTATTTCACAACCCCTCCCACTCACCCAAGTATTTAGTAACACTTTGGAATATGGTACGGACGTTTAGACCAAATTTCACTTCAACCAATGCTTCAGTTTAAGACCCAAATTGTACAGATGAGAAATGAAGTCAAAGAGTAATATGGTGGATTAAACACAGCCATAACTGGAGCTGGGACCCAACCCAAGACCTTGTGATTTCTTTAACAATATTCTTTATGGGCTTGGTGCCCATAGCTCAGTGAGTAGGGTGCTGGTCACATATGCTGAGGCTAGCAGGTTCGAACCCAGCCCAGGACTGCTAAACAATGACAACTGCAACAACAACAACAACAACAACAAATAGCCAGGCATTATGGCATGCACCTGTAGTCCCAGCTACTCGGGAGGCTGAGGCAAGAGAATCACTTAAGCCCAAGAGTCTGAGGTTGCTATGAGCTGTGATGCCATGGCACTCTACTGAAGGTGACATAGTTTAAATATCATAAGCAATGTGCGGCATTCAACATACTGCTTTGATATAGTAAAAACAAAAAACAGAGAAATAATTATAAATGATTAAATATTACTATCAATAAGCATCTTATTTAATAGTATTTTTCTTTAATAAGCACCTTATTAAGGAATAGTATTTAAGTGATAACGGTAACAATTAATATGAGAACTGAAATCTACTGCATATGTATACATATATACCAATTATATACATACACATATATAAATGTAGTACACTTCTACAACCAACTTCACTGCTTAGTTTCCACAGTTGATATTTATTTCCACTTTTCTTATTAGAACAACTTGTCTTTACACAGAAGAAACATTTGTTTTCTACTGTGTAAAATGAAATTCCTCACAGCAATTTAAACAAATTATTTTATCAGGACTTACAGCTGACAGGGTCCATGTAATAATGATCTCACCAATGGTTTTAAGAATGTGTATTATATGAGGCACTGTGGTTCCAGCACATTTTCTCTTAACATCATTTGTATCCTGGGAACAAATTCAAGGGAAATTAATAACATGGAGAAATATTTAAGATGACAAAGATTAAAAAGTAAGTCATATTGGGTATCAAACCATGATTGGTTGACTCTTTGTTGAAAGATAACAGAATTTTAAACAAAGAATACAAATTGAAATGGAATCAATTTTGAATGTCCCAATCCAGGTTGTAGGCATTAGAGAAAAATCAAGGTTGATTTACTGATCTGTGATATTATTAAAGGAATTAAGAAGTTCCAAGGATCTCTGCCTGCCTTACAGTTTAGTTCAGTCTTCTACTTCTGCCTATATTCATATTGTACATGCAATTATCACCTGTCCAAGAAAATGTTAAATCCAAGATGATTTCCAGAGACTATTAGATAAATCTTAAATGGTATGTCATTTCTCTACAACCAAACAGTTCTGGCAGCAAATAACAATAAGGGTCCATCTCATTAAAACTGGCTCTTACTACTACAGATTCCACTAAATCTGTAAACTTGAGGTTGAATGCTCAAGGGAGCTCCTCTTTCTACAGCACGTGGAATGCTTTTTACTGTAAGAGCCCTGTCTGCTAATAAGGCAAGTAAAACAAAAAGAAAACTAAAGTGCTATATTATTTAAGAATGAAGTTAATATCCTGAATGAGATACTGAACAATACAAAATGTAAAGACTTTAAAAGAACCTGGGCATTTTGTTTTATTTGAGGGGACTTTGTGTCCCAATGTAAGAAAGTTTGCTGTGAGGCTAAACATGAAATTGCTGAGTTTACAGTTGATTTTTCAGGCTCTAAAAACATCATAAAAGCTCTCTATCACTTTAAAACATACTCAAAGTTTAGCTTTTATAAATAAAGGCACTATAAAATTTCCTTATAAAAGCAAAATCAGATTTGTTTCCTGAGTGATTTATTGTCTATCATTCACTAAGTATTTACATTGCAAGCCAGAATTTTAACCTTTCCACAATGCCAATTTAAATTTTACATGAATAAATGAAAACACATGACATTCAGTAGTTGCTTTCCAGAACTTTAATGCCTCAATAAGTCATGATAATTGCTTTAACAGGGTGATCTGTACTTGTCAGTTAAAGATTACATTGTTTGCTTGAGGGTTTTTCCCCCCACTTCCTAACCTCCTTCTCGATATGATTGTAGTTGCTTCCTCTACCTCTTTACATGTTTCTTTATAAACACTGTATTAATCACGATCTACATCAAATACAAAATTAACACCATGTATAACAAGAAAGGTAAATCTGGGGTGGCATCTGTGGCTCAAAGGAGTAGGGCGCCGGCCCCATATACAGGAGGTGGCGGGTTCAAACCTGACCCTGGCCAAAAACTGCCAAAAAAAAAAAAGAAAGAAAGAAAGGTAAATCTCCCTCAGCAAATGGATCTAAAAGTCATTTTGTCATTCATTAATTTCCTTCGTTACTTATATTTAAAGGGGAGAGGGGGAGTGAGCCATTGACCAGCTATTTTCCTCTTTCAAATACTCAGACCATCTCCAGTGCATTTGTGTTCAAAATTTTTCTTTGAAGTCCGACAAGGTAAAGTACTGACTTTTCATCAGTAATTCTGGTCACTCTGCAGTGGGCGTGTGCATAAGAAACACACCTGTAAGGGCAACCTTTGATCTAGGTTTGGAAAACCCATTTCTGCACAGCAGTCCACAGGTAGTCCGGCCACGTGGCTGGCAAGGCCCTAATGAGTCTGCGCAGACGACCTCCTACAGCTGGGTCCAGACCATGCGCAGGCGCACTGCGAGCACAACGCTGCAGCTGCCGCTGCCGTTGGAGACTACACCGCCCCGGGGCGCCAGAGGGCCAGCTAGGTGCTGGGCTCCAGGCATCTTCTGTGATGGCCGCTGGTCAAGATCTGGGATTCTGGCTCTAAGGGCACTTTCAGCCAGTATCTTCCTCTTCAGCTGGGCCCAAGCGCTGGCGTGAAGATCTAGACTCCCTGTTCATCTCTGCCCCCGCGGGGACCCCTATAGCCTGGGCCTGGACCTGAGAGGGCTGAACTCGATCCTTTTAACAAGTAAAATGCAGGGTAATGACGTTGCTTTCTCTTAAATGATTTCTTCAAAAGTCACCCTGCCCTGTAGTCTTCTCCCTCCCTTCGCAGAATCTGGGTCTCACCCACCAACCACCCTCCCATTCTAGTTCATCAAATACCGAGTCTCTCTGTCCCAGCCCAGGATTGGCCATGGACACATGGAAATGAATTCCTTGACTTCTGAGCACTCACAGTGGCTTCAGAGCCAGTCCTGAAAATCAGAGTTAGAATACATTGTGATAGGAATTATGCACATAATGTTAGGAGAACAAGTAGAGAGAGATCTACTCTCTCATGAGTCACAACAGGCTTCCCAAAACCTAGGAGTGGCTGTATGAAATTGAGAAGGTGGGCGGGGAGCAGCCTAAGGAATTGGAATTTTATTCTGAAGACCATTAGGGGCAGGTGGGTTGCATGCCTGCTGAAGGTGCTAAAAATACAAAAGTGGTTTCTAGACGGGAGCTTTCTGTGACTTAGAGAATTTCAAGGTAAAGTTGGTGAAGCAATATAATAGGCTTGGGAATAAGGGCTAAAAGGACAGTCCTGCAGCTGCTTTTGGATTAGTGATGGGTTCACCTCAGAAAATAAAAACAAATGATCAGGTCTATTTTTTTATTGATTGATTTTTACAAAAAAAAAAAAAGGATGTTTAAGTGGATTTCAAGTAACCAAATGTAGAATTTTTTTGTTAATATTCCAACCATCATCTATTCCAAGAATATGTTGGAGGTATAGGAGTGATTCTTTGTTTCTTCCTTCCATCAATTAAGCTGAGGATTTTAAACACACCCTTGCTGATTAATATTTTTTATGAATATTGCGTCTGGAGTGGTCTTGGTGGACCTGATAGAGATTATATTTATGCTAAATGTTCTGCTCCCCAAGTCACTTCACAGTAGCTACAAATGTGAAAAGAATTTTTCTACACAGTTTTCCCTTCATATCAGCAAGGGATTGATTGCAGAACCCCATGAATACCAAGATCCAAGGCTACTTAAGTCCTTAATATAAAATGGCATGAAATTTGCATACAACCTACACATATGCTACATACACTTTATATCTAGGTTACTTATACTACCTAATTCAGTGTGAATTGTATTGTTTCTTTAATTTGTATTATTTTTGTCATTATGTTTTTTTTTTTAACTATTTTCAGTCTGCAGTTGGTTGAATTCCTGGAAACAGAAGGCAGACTACACAAAAGATCTTATTTTCAGTTTCTTGTTTTCTGAAAAGTGACAATAGCAATGTAGATGAGGCTTTTCCTCGTTGCTGTATATGAATTTTATAATTATATGGCGTTTTATTTCATTATAACAGTGATTGATCTTGGCTGTCTATATAGGCAGTCCCCAAATTACAAACTTAACATATAAGTCACAGACAGAGGCTATTACAAGTAATAGGTAAATGTACTAGCTCCACCTTACATACAAATTCAACATAAAGAATGAACCTACATAGACAAGCAAGAATCCAATTCTGATATGAGGAGAATTGATGCTAGTACATCATGGGGTTGGGGGGGCACAGAGAGGGAAGGAGGGAGGAGGGTGGGGGTCACAATTAGAAAAGGGACTGTACCTAACAAATGCAAGCAGTGTAACCTGGTTCTTTGTATCCCTCAATGATTCTCCAACAATAAAAAAAGAAAGAAAGAAAGAAACCTACAGAAACTATTTTGTTCATAACCTAGGGATTATGAACTACATGCCTGTAGTTCTAAATGCTTGGTTATTTCTCAAAGATGGTGTTTGAATACATAAAGCTTACTTCAGTTACTAACATTACTTTCTCTCTGGCTATCGCTCTCATGTTCTTTCCTAGCTTTTTCTGTGTCTCTGGTTTAATGGCATTAAGAGACATCGAGAAAACAAATTTTAGAAACTGAAGACTCATTAAAATAATCAATTCATGAGATTTTGAGAGTGCAGGGAATGAGAGAGGACTCTCTCCTTTCTGAAAAGAACAAGCCTCAGATTTAACATCAATAGTCAGGTGGCATGACATGTTATTGACATAATAGCAAATGTAGAATTTCAGATCTACAAAGACAGACAATCCACAAGATGATCTAAACACCAGGAAGAAGTCCAGATACATTGGATCAGGAGAGGGCTAGATTTGGTTAAATCAAAAAGAAAAACAGTGTGCCATTAGGATTTCAGAAGCAGCTTTGATAAGTTGTCTGATAGAAGAAACAGTTGTTTCATATAGAAGTTAAGTAGCAAGTATGTGTCACAATAAAGGAAAAATCAATTTAAGTAGAGGAAGTTGGTTTTGAAAAATTGCATTGAACTGATCAGGAATTACAAATGAATTATTGAAAACTTTACTGAAAATTCTCTAATACTGTTCCTCAGGAGAACCTTTACTACTCAAAGACAGTACATGTAACATACCAATACTTTGTAGTCCTAGAGAGAAACTTTTCAATTATAGAGGCTGTTAGTTCTGAACATGTGGTTGCAAACTGATGCCTTTCAGAATTAAGGCACAGGAAGGAGAAAGCTGTTGCTTCTGAATTTGGGAAAGCACTTGTCAAACAATAAGGAAAGAATCAAACTTACATATTTTCTTCTGAGAAAATCATGTATATGTGTTTTATATTGTTTTGTAGAAGTTTCCAAGTTAAGATAACACCAAAAGTTAAAGACAAAATCATCTAGAAGAAATGCTGATAGTATGGCATGTGGGAACGCAAGACTCTCTCCAGCAAATTCTCTTGTTTTAGGGGTAAGATTTTACCTTGACTAAATTTAGGATCATGAACTATTTTAGTATTATAAAAGGCATTTTGGATCTAGAAAGGGACAGATTTAGTTTAAAAGGGTAAAATTTATTTTTTATAATGTTGGCTTTTATAAAGTTTGACTGATCTCATGTACCTTCATTAACGCGTTCTTATTTATATGTGTACTGACTAAACAAACATACACAGGTTAATACAGAAATCCAGATAAGGAATAAGGAAAAAAAGACAGCATGTATATAGGGGGTGGGGTTAACTCTGAGAGAGATCTATTGCCAATGTATTCACTGACATCATGCAGCGGGAGGATTATGAATTTGTCCCTTCTTATACACATGTGAGGTTACAGACCATCTATCTGACTTTCTAAATAAACATAAAGGAATTATGAGGACCAGGCTTTTTCATATTTAAAGAGGAGAAAACTTTTTCCACTGATGTGAACTTTTCCTTTGAATTCAGATGCTGTGTAGATCTATTTTCTAAACCTCCTACCTGACTGTTCAGCAGAGGTTCTTAAACTCTTTTGGGTCACAGACCACTTTGTCATGTATACACCTGTGCTGCAATCCTACGCGCTCCATTTGTTGGGGGGGGGGTTGTCTGATTTCCAGAAACCCATTTGTTGTTTCTAAGAACAATTTTTAAATAAGAAAACCTATCTTGTCCTCCACACACTGGCAGTTCTTTAAAACTTTTGGCTACTTGGATATTTCATGGTATTATATAGAAAAACAGCCAGTCATAGAAAAGGAGACACTATTTTTCAAGACTACTCCTTTTAACAATTGGGAAAGACACATGGAATTACATGACACCAACATGCTTATATAAGAGTTATTTCCTGGATGTTTGTGTGCTGAGCACCATATTACAGGCTGATGATACAACAGTGAGAAACCAAAGTCTAGTCCCTCAGCTTTTGCAGTCTGTTGGGGATATTTCTCCCAATCAAATTCAAAGAACCTCTGGAAATAATAACCACTCTTGCAAATTTGATGCAGGGGGAAATCTTAAATTCTAAATCCATAAAATTGCATAAGATTATTATCAAAAAAGAGGTCTTTCTTAAAACTCTTCTTTAAAATGTATTTTTAAAATTAGCCAATTGCATTATTTCATAGACTACTTGCTTTGCAAAGAGTTGAAACTCTTAAAACATTAAATAGCTTCCTATTAAAGTTTGTATGAAAATAAAAATAATGTATCCTGTCATTTTTAAAGAATAATTAAAATGTGATTCAGTATATGAAATATTAATTCACATATAAATGGAGAAATAAATTTATTAGGGCATATTTCCTGTGATTATCATTATCTTCTTACAAATTAAGGTTTAACAATAATTCTTCCCATTCCAACTAATCACCTATGCAGTGGGAAGGCCTGGTGCAAGCAAGTCCAACTTGGATATGCTTTGTATCACTGTGTTATATTGTACCAAACTCCAGAATACTTATTTAAAAAATCCATACTAGGTCGTCCTTGAAAGAAAAGATAAATCAAACCCCAGTAAGTTTTAAAAGGTGATTCATCCTTAATAAATTACTGATGTATAAGAAAAAGTTAGATATATGACTTCCCACATCAAGGTACAGTAGTAAACACATTTTCTCCCAAGGACCCTCAATATTCTCTTCTCATGCCATTACCTGATAAATGGGAGGCTAGCCAGTGGTAGAATCAGACTGTGAATTTTATTCTACACAATTCTTTGTGGGAACATTGGCCAGAGCTACTATTATTGAATCTGTTGCTCTAAGTATGACTGATTCCTATTTGGTAAACCTCAGTCCTTCTTGGTTTAGACCTTCTTTCTGAACTAACCAATCTAGGAAATACTTTACTGAGTGTATTGCTATTTTACTTTCATCTTTCGTAAAGGTGTTAAATGTTTCTTATAGTTAACCCTTAACTGGAATTGTGTTTTAAATTACATGATTTTAGTACTAATAGCTTTCTCTTCCCACAGACCATCCAGATTATGATTGGCATCTTTGAAGTTTTCATGTGGTATTACCTGTTGGTTTTGTATATGGGACAAATTAAAGGAGTCTTTGGAAAATATGAACCTTTAACTTATAAAACAGGATGTGCTTTATGGGGAATTTTTGTGAGTAAAATATATAATGATTTAATCATTTAATAAATAATATTTATACCAATAGCGGAAGGTAGGACACAGTTTCTAAACAAGGTCTTCAGGAAAACTATATAACTAAATCCTGTTTTTAGTTTATTCGAAGTCAGATTCTTTTTTTCAACAGATATGTATTGAGTATCTTTAATTTACAAATGTTTCTCCAAGAGATATAGAAGTATACAATGACATCCATAGGGTAGACTGTCCCTAGATGTGTGAATAACAAATAATTTTAACTATAATATCCATTAGCATGATTAATTTTCACGTTCACAGTCTTCACTTTCGTCACTTTGCACAAGGAGTCAATACTTATTTTCTGAATTTATCATTACTGGCACTCTTTTGTGATTTCTAGGCAGCCATTAGATAGGCAGAAAACCTGGAGAGGGTGGCATCCTTAAAGCCAAGTGAAGAAATTGTAACCCAAAATGGGGAAAGATCATTTATATTATATTTTGTGTTTTGCCAAGGAAGAGGAAGGCTAAGGATCAACCATTGGACTTAACAATATCAAGTTAGTCGTAAAGTGAAGTCTTTTCAGTGGAATGATGAGGCAAAAGCCTGATTTGATTTGGTTTAAGAAATACTAGCAAGAGAGGAATTGGAGACAGCAAACACAGACAACTTTTTAAAGGACTTTGCTATAATGTGGTACAGAGAAATGAGATGATAGTGTGGGAAGTTTGGGGAAGGGGAGGGTTTGTTTATTTGTGTCTGAGAGTTGGAAGAAATAATACCATTTCTTTTGTTGAAAGGACTAAATCGGAAGAAAGAAAATTGATAATATGAGATAAATGAGGGGAAGGGTACTAGAATCTTTGGGTAGGCAAGAGAGGATGAGTTTTAGTACACAAATAGTTAGAAGAATGGACAGGTTATCTCTATCAGTGGTTCTCTCTAGAGGTGAGTTTGCCCCTCAGAGGACATTTCATAAGGCCTACAAATACTCTGAGACTTGACAGCTGGTGGTGGGCATATAGTGGGCGGACACCAAGGAGGCTGCTACATAGCCTAAAATACCCAGGACAGCCCTTCTCAACAAAAGATTATCCGGTCTTATTATAAATTGTGTTAAGGTAAGATAACAGTCAAGAAAGGCAAAGTAAGAGAGAGAAAAGGGAAGGTTTTGATATGATGAGAAATTGTGGAAGATTTTTTTTCTGATCACTTAAAATACCTCAGTTAATTAGGCAGGACCATGAAGTGGAAGTGAGGATAAGCAAGTAGAATGGTTGTTTGAGGAAAGAGGGGAGAATGTGAAATAGTCATCTTGGAAAAGTATGAAAGTGCTTGAATTATGGAAAAGTAGTTCTATTTTTGATAACAGTATTTAAGCACTCAACCTGTGTTTTAGAATGTGGTTATATATTGACATGGGTTGTGTTTCTTTCTCAGACTGTGTGCAGGCGTGCAATGGTGGGAAAACTATACCTAGTCAAGATTTTGGTTTAACCATGCCACTGTAATAAAACAAGAAGAGGTGTAAAGGGGTTTGAGAGTGATGGATATAAAGGTTAACCATGGAATTTAAGTTGATGATGAAGAGAAGACTTTAAAGAACGTGAGGATATCAGATTATAGATCCAGGTTGGGTCAAAAGATTGTTAAAGTTCTAACATCCGAGGATAAGAGCTAGAAGAATAACAAGTGGGATACTTGAAATGGAGATTTAAAATATGTAACAAGGACAAGAGAATGAATATGGGAGTGAATGACTAAGACAGGTGAAGCCCACAGTATTAGAAGGATCATATCTATATTGAAATCACCAAGTATTAAGTGATGTTGGAGAGAGAGTCAAAGAGACATGAATTAAAATCATCTGGAAAGAGGAACAACCAGGGGGTCAACAGATGACTTCAAACGTGAGGAATAGTGGATGACTGTATCTGATGACATTTGAGCCAAAGCTAGAGGAGAAAGAATTGTTGGAAGTAGCAATAAGAGCAAGAAAACTATTTAATCTGTGCTTAGAAGAGATAAAACGGGGGCTAGAGGAGACAGGAGGGCTGCCACTGGAGAAAGCAAGCGATCACTACAGGAAACAGTGATTTCTGGGCGATCCCCTGACTTTACACATATACTGCCTCATAAGTGTCACAGGATTGCCTTGAAAAAAAAAATAGGAGAAATATACTAACTTTCACACAAAATCTAGGTAAATGACGCATGGTTTATAAATGCTCTATAGGCTGTAAGTAATGCATCAGCTCAGAAGCAATAAATGATAAATTATGCACAGGCTCGTAAATGTCAAAGCATTACCTTGAAAAAACAGGAGAAAGATCATGAATTTCAGAACAAATCCAGATAAACCATTTATGTCTCTGAGTGTTTAACAACAAATGTTATAAAGATAGCATATTTAACTCCTGGGGTAAATTACACAAAATTTCAAGGAAACGTAATACAATACAAAGCTTCTCATTTAGGCATAAGTCTTGAAAGGCATTTTATAAAGCAAATAGCACTTTAGTTAGAAATAATCTAGTTGGAGAGTACTCTAGTTCAAAATTCACAAGATATTTTCACTTTATTTATATCCTGAGATAGTTCTTTTTTTTTTAATTAGGGACAAAATTTGCTCTGTCACCCAGGCTGGAGTGCAGTGGCCGTATCATAGCTCACTGCACCCTTAATCTCCTGAGCTCAGACGATCCTCCTGTTTCAGCCTCAGGGTGGCTGAGACTATAGGCCCACCCCACCATAGCTGGCAAATTTTTGTGGGTGCTTTGGAGAGATGGGGTCTTTCTATATTACCCAGGCTCATCTCAAACTTCTGATTTCAAGCAATCCTGCTGCCTCATCCTCCAAAAGTGCTGATAGGTGCATGAGCCACTGCAACCTGATCTATGTTCAGAGATAGTTCTTACCACCACTGAGCACCTGCTTAGAAATCTGAATTTTTGTTAGGGAACGAAGTACTGAATTTGTACATTTAAAGTTATCCTCAAGGACTTTGCAGCTTCAGGTTTGGCTTTCTTATGTATGGTTTGAAACACGAATGTTGTCCTTCCAGAAATTTGACTTGGATCTTCACCAAAGCCATGAAAACAGATAAAACAAGGAATATTTCAAGAGAATCATGCAGCCCAATATGAGATAACATTACATTTCACAATACACATACGAGATAACATTACATTTCTTAGAAAAAAAGTCCTTTGACATGAAATAATGGAACGTCTTCTTTTAGAAAACAAAGGCAAAGGCATCAAAAGCAACTATGACCTTAATAATGACCAAAGTCTCAGCTAAGAGTCTATATATTTTGTGTAATCACAATGTGGAATAGACTCTTGGACCACACATACTGTATCTGGATATGTACGTAGTAATTATAATCAGTAGCACCATTTCATCAGGAAGGATAGCATAAGTAATAAGTGAATGAATTACATATGAGGTAGCTCACATGCATATAAGCAAACCTGGTTTGGGGTTTAGGACTCCAAAGGCTATCTTTGGCATGTACCACAATCTGAGTTCTGCCCACTGTCCACTGTATGTGTCTGTCACAAGTGACCTGTTACCTTTCAATTCATTACCGTATGACAGAAACTTGTCCTGACCATTTTACTTTTAGTATTCTAAAAATAACTGATTTGGAAGAGCATTTTTTTTAAGTTGGCAAGCATTATCAATGAGTATTTATCAATATATGTTTTTATGTCCAGCCTATCACTTCAGGAGCTATAGTAATAAGAGCAACAAAGTATCACACTCAAAACCTGGTAAGTTAAATGTTTGGGATATCTCTGTAAGTCACTTGTCATAAAACTAACCATTAGGTTTTAACAAAAAGATAGTGTCTACCAGAGGTGTCCAACTGGTGGCCTGTGGGCCACATGCAGATTATCTGAGGACTGTTCTGCTTATCTTATGATGTCAGATATTGCAAAAAGTATACACTCACCTTTTCCTTTGCTCATCAGCTTTCGTTAGTATTTGTGTATTTAATATGTGTCCTAAGACGATTCTTATTCTTCCAGTGGGCAGTGGAAAAGAACAAAGGTTGGACACCCCTGGCAAATGAAAGAATCTACCCTATCTGTAAAATAAGTGACAGAATTAAGTGCAAATCTAAGAACATATAATTTGATATAGACAAATATGCTGAATTGCTTTATGTAAAATTTTATTAATTTAAATATGGTTTTTGTTTTGTTTAGTATTCTACCTTCTTTTTTAACAATTTTTTAATTAATTTATTTATTGATTGATTTTTGCAGTTTGGGCCAGAGCTGGGCTTGAACCCACAACCCCAGTATATGGGGCCAGCACCCTACTCCTTGAGCCACAGGCACATAAAGTTTAACATTGTACCTTTATGATTAGAAAAATTTTAATAGGACCTAATGCTTTTATATATAGATATCATATTTCTGTAAAACTTCATTCTCTGAACTATCCAGTTTGAAAACAGGATTCTGCCTTTTTACAAAGTAGGGGATTTGTCCAAAATAAAGATACATCCATAGTATAAGTAGAAAGACATTGGGAATAAAAAGCCTTTAAAAATCTTAGAACTAAAATATGTTTTAGAAATTAGTCTGATCTATAATTTTACACATAAAAAACTTATGTCCAAAGATATTGAGACATAATTCCTCAGATAAAGAAACCACAGAATTAAAATGTTCTAAGTACTATTTAGTTGTATTTCTACAAGCAGAAATTTTTCCTTTCCTTTTTTGGTCCCTTGTATTAAAATCATACCTTAAAGATTTTCTTCTTTCTCTTTATTTCCCCCCTTGTGATGGAACACCATTTGTTTAAATCATATCTTAGCGGATAGTGACTCATAATAGAATATACTATTTTTAGAATAGTATAGTATTCTATATTCTATACTATAATAGTATATTCATAATAGAATATATGAGCACATGTGGAATATCAGTAAGTGCATGTGGAATATTTGAACACATGTGGGATATCAATGAGCTGATTTCTGATTTTAATGTTTCTTGTAGATCAAGTGGGTTTTGTGTAAACTGGAATAATACTTCACATTAATGACAAGCACGCAGACATGTCCAACACTTAAGAAACTAGATCAAAGTTTTACCTAGATGACTTTTTTCAAACTATTTAACCAAAGTGTTTGTTCTGAATATAATAAGTTTACTCTGTGTATCCTTTTCAGATTTCAAGTGCTTTGTTCCTTAATATCTTCTAATGTTTCTTGTAGATCAAGTGGGTTTTGTGTAAACTGGAATAATACTTCACATTAATGACAAGCACGCAGACATGTCCAACACTTAAGAAACTAGATCAAAGTTTTACCTAGATGACTTTTTTCAAACTATTTAACCAAAGTGTTTGTTCTGAATATAATAAGTTTACTCTGTGTATCCTTTTCAGATTTCAAGTGCTTTGTTCCTTAATATCTTCTGTATAATTACCACAATTATTGCAATAGTTCTAACAGCAATTGAGTTGGCTTCTTTTAAATCTGTGTCATATAGGAATTATGGACAAGCGGTAAGTGACCAATTCTGTAGAAATATTTTAATTTCAAAATTATTCTTTCCAGTGGTTTTAAAACCTTGGGAGGTAAGATGAGGCTTTTATTGGTCCTTGAAAAATTCTTTTAGCAGCAAGCTTTTGATTGGTTGAAAGTTTTCCTTCAAAAATAGCTCTAAGATGTGATTTTTCAGTAAATATTAATAGAATGTTTGAATCTTTGACTTGCTGAATTAAAATAAAGTAAAAAATTGAAAGCTTCAATAATAAGCGTCTGTGCATTAAGCACAGGGTAGCACTAATGATTCTCTTTATGCTAGAATGGCATAATCCTGTACCATAAAACCATTCTCAAAATCAACTGAAGAATTTTTCTATTGACCCATAACAGTTCAAGTTCTAGACACTTGGTGAGTTCCAATTTAACATAGAGCTTTTCATACACAGCCTATCTTTGCATCTTATGTGAATTTTGCTTTTAGTCTGCAAATTCTAAATATAAATATATAAACCTATCTTACTTCCATTTAACTGAAATTCAATCACATTTGTAGTAGTACGGAAATAACTATTTTTCTTCCTAAGATGGTAACATCCTCCAGTAAATGTATCTTTACCAATCACACAATGAATTTTTTTTGAACTCACCTGATGATTTTATTATCTATTTTAGGTTACATAAAATAATTAAAATATTTTTATTTATAATTTTTTATTAAATCATAACTGTATATGTTTATGGGGTACAATGTGCTGACTTGATATACAATGTGGAATGTTTACATCAAACTGATTAACATAACCATCACCTCACTTACTTGTGGTAAGATCTATTGTGTACAATGCAATGGTACATTTCAAAACTATTAAAAGTATAAATGTCTTACCACAATAGATTTAATTGTTGGCGTTAAATTCAGAATTTTAGCTATGTTAACCAGTTTGATGAAAATATTTCAAATGGTATATAAAACCAGCACATTGTACCCCATAATTGCATTAATGTACACAGCTATGATTTATTTTTTTAAAAATCAGAATTTTAAAGAATATTAGCACTGCAAAAGACTTTAGCAGTGCTTATAAAAATCTTGCCCTTGAAATAAGCCAAATGGAAATGGAGCTTCTCCTTATTTGACCAACAAAAAACAAATAGTAATTACAGTACTGAGTGGAAGAGTCACTGTAGATGAGGGATAAACTTCCTGCTCTTCCTCTATACACTTCCTCTCCATACCTGCATCAGTGGAAAGAATCAAAATATGGAGAACAACAGCCAAAGGACAGTGAGACAATAACAGAAAATGCAGTAGTACCCTCAAATAGATTATGTGTAACAAAGGATGATTTAATTAAACATGGACCAAGTGAAAGAGGAGCACTTTGACCAGCAGAGAATTCTCAGACTACCAAGGCTTGTATGAAAGGTCTTTATTGGTGGGGGGAGGGAAGCTGCAAAGCAACACCGAGGAGAAGAGAAAAGAGGAGACAGAGATAAGGAGAGAGTGGTGGGGAAGAGGAGAGAGAGAGAGTAGAGAAGAGCAAGGGGGAAGACAGGAGAGAGAGAAGGAAGGCAGAAGGAGGCGAGAGAGAGAGAGAGAGAGAGAGAGAGAGAGACACGGCTGGAGGCTGGGGGAACGTATTCTTATATAGAGGAGTTTTAGAATGGTGACGGGCTGGTGGGATAACCAACAAGGAGTTATTCCTCCAGCAGAAAGATCCATTAGGGGCGGGCAGTGGGAAATTAGAACAGGGTGATGAGGTAAGCAGGCCACTCCCTGTGCTAGGGAGGAGTTGTAACTTTAAGGGCAGAAAGGGGCTTTGGGGGAGGGGCCTTCTGAAGCAATTTTCTAACACCAAGTTTTCCTTATCAATTGTAAGAAAATTCTCCAGTTACCCTGGAGATTCTTTTTTTTTTTTTTTTTTTTTGAGACGGAGCCTCAAGCTATCCCCCTGGGTAGAGTGCCATGGCATCACGCTCACAGCAACCTCCAACTCCTGGGCTCAAGTGAGTCTCCTGCCTCAGCCTCCCAAGTAGCTGGGACTACAGGCACCCGCCACAGCGCCCGGCCATTTTTTGGTTGCAGCCATCATTGTTGTTTGGCGGGCCAGGCTGGGGATTCGAACCCGCCACCTTAGGTGTATGTGGCTGGCGCCTTAGCCGCTTGAACCACAGGCGCCGAGCCTACCCTAGAGATTCTATCTAGAAATCTTCAATTCTAGTTTTGGGGGCAGAGAATTGGGGAGGGTAGACTTAAAAGTTATTAAGTGCATAATTGTTTCAAGTTATTTATTACCATTTTTATTTATAAAATTGTAATTATCAGTTCAATATAATACAGCATAATTGCCTTTTTTCAATCGATATTACAGACCACTATAGACTCTATTTATCTGATCTGAACTTAGTATTAATGATTAGTTTTACATTCACTTTTCAGCTTTGTTTGCTGTGATTAGTTAAACAAAATGAACTTGTGTATTGACACTCAGCTAAATCCACAAACTCATCAAGTTACCAGTGTTTACAAAGTTAGGTGCAGCTAAGTCCAGAGTGCATGCACCTGAAATATGCTTTTCATATATCAAAATGATTAATAGTATAGATTCCAAAACCAGACTGAATTTATTTAAATATTATCCTCAGTATAGTATAGTTGTTTCTTTGTAACCTATCTTGTGTCAGAAAAAATAGTATAAATTAAAATCGGTACAAATATTTTAAGTAGGTTACAAAGAAACAACTAAATAAAATTTAAAGTTGCCTAGAAGGCTACTTCCCCCCTTGAATTTCCTCAGTCCTACTTATTTGGGGGGTTCTACCTCTTTATGAAGTTTTCCCAAAGATGAAAGGTTTATAGTAAACCTCCTGTGCCCTATAATTAATGAGCAAGTTTTTATCTATTTGGACATATTTAACCTTGTCATGGGTCACCTTCTATTATGTTTTTGTCTGTTCTACTTGATTATAGAAAGAGAAGAGAAAGAGAATGAAGAGGAAGAGAAGGAATTGAGGGAGATAAATATGTTCTCATTCTTTCTAGATCTAAATATTATTCTTGTCTTTCCATAGCTAGCACATAACTCACATTTTCAGAATGTGAGTATCACTCACAAAAGTCATCAGGGAGGTGTGTACTTGAAAATATCTTTCTAATAGCAACAGAAAGGAATCTGATTTATTATCACAGCAGTTACAATCACCTGTGTTTCTAAGTGAAATGTTCTTTTAACTGTTTTTGAATTGACTCATCATTTTCTGATATAACATCAATATGTATGTAAGATTTTTATCAGCACATATGTAAATTTAAGTAAGTTTGTAATCAATAATAACTTTTAATAGAAGAGGATTGTTTGACAAAGCTCTTTATCTTAGTAGTCCTCACAAGGTGGTGGCCATCTTATCACTAAAGATAGGAGAGTCAGATCTTACCAACTAAAGAATTTAGGTAGTGAGCTAAGTCAGGACATTAGTGAGGACATTAATGAGAATAAAAAGTTGTAAGAAGGGAGAAAAGAATGTTGAGTTGTTGAGTGGTGAAGATCAAGGTTGGACCCCACAGATGATGAATTAAGGAAATGAAAACCAGGAAAAGTAAAGCAGAAGGCAAAGGAGTGTAAATGCTTAAGGAAATTAAATGGTGAAAGAATTATCTTTACTTTACTTGACACTCACACTAGGCGTTCCTTATGTGAGTGTATTTGTCTTATGAAAGATATAATAATAGAAGATATTCCCTATATTTTTGGTTACAGAAACTTGGAAGGGAAGTTTCACGAGTTTTAATACCTTTCTACATCTTGGAAATTGTTATTGCACTTATGTATACAATATACACCTGCTTAAATTTGGTAAGTGTTTTATTGACTCTGGCAAAACAAGAGGTGTTGATTTCTAGTAAGCACACGCTGCAAAGAAATGAAGCACATTGATACAATATGCTAGGACCAATAAAATTAGAATATTTTACAATAATAGAATATGATAATAATTCCTTTACTTTTGTTTTATAAATAGAAAACAAAATTATAAAAGTAATAAATGAGACTGTAAATTTTTTAAAAGTTATATAGAGTAAAAAGTGATTGTTCTCTTAATATAGTTCTTACCATACCCACACATTCACATCTATATAAAAAAAGACGAACATACTCTCAGTTTTCTGTTTTACTAATTCTGCGGTCATAGTCTCATTGCCTTGTCATGTGCATTTTTTTCAACCATCATAAATATTTTTTCCATTATAAAACATGTCTAAAGAATGCCATTGACTAGCTTCATGATTTTTCTTAATATTTATTGTGTGATATTTTCATTGCATTATCTCATGTGTTTTTTTAACTATCATAAACATCTTTCCATTATGAACATATCCGACCAATGCCTTTGACTAGCTTCATTATTTTTCTTAATATTTATAGATTTGTTTCAAATTTCTTCTAAATTATTAAGAATAACACAGTGTAAAATCCAATACAAATATTTTTACATACAAGATAACTATTTCTGAAGGTGGTTGGTTCCTGTAAGTGTGTAAAGGGTCAAGTTTAATAACATTCCAAAATTGTATAACAATTCACAATATAGCACAAATTTATGAGAATGGTTATTTTCTTACCAGCTTTAAAAACTACATACACACGAAGGCTACAGTGACTAACAAGACAATATCCCTACCTTCAGGGAGTTTGCATTCCAGTTAAGGGAGAAAGACAGTAAACAAACAAATATATAAAATGTCAAGAAGTAAAAAATGTTATGAAGTAAAATAAAGGAGGATAATGAGATGAGGAGAAGATTATTTTACATAGGATAGTCAAGAAAGACTACTCTGAGCAGCAACTAACTGAAATACATACATAGAAGCAACTGTGAGACTATATGGAAAACCAGTTTTAGAATTGGGAATAAGTAGGACTTTCAGAATGGTTAAATGAAATCTCCTTAAAAAGAAATTATAAAACTGGACAAAAATGTCAAAACATTGCCTTTTAAATGTTGAGAAAATTGACCAAAGCATACAACAAAATGAGAAGTGTTTATTTAAGAAAATCTGGACCTCAGTAAGAACAACAAATATCTGTGGCATGTTAGTTTGGAGCTTCTCCCATTCCTATCACAACACAGGTTCCATTATGCAGAAGTTTACCTTGGTGAGTCACATTATGAGGACTAGTACATCACTGTTTGAGAGGACTAATTTTATTTGGAACAGAGCACAGTAAGTTCCTTGACCAGGAATGTTATTTTAAAAAATAGTGATCTCAGCAGCAAACAAACAGATAAGGTCAATGTTACACCTAGCCTAACTAAGATCATAGTACTTATTGGAGCAAGAAATTGACTGGCATCCAACCAGAAACTCAACAGAGAGATTCAGATTAAAAGGCAACCAATAGGGCCTTGATAATATCCAACTTATCCCTTTTGGTCTGAAAGAATATAAATACACATATATGTAAAGCTAGACACATGCTAAGGAGAATGGTGAAGGCCTTCATGCACTATTTACCTTTGGCTATATAAGAGGCCTTGAAAAAGTAAAAGCTAGAGCACACATATGTATGGCCTAAACTTTCAATACATGACTCAAGCTACACTGATTTATTGGGAAAGGGTAGAAGTCTTACTGACTAAAAATGCTTAATATTTCGCTAGGGCTGCCATAAAAATGTCCCTCATACTGTGTGTTTTAAACAACAGATTTATTTTCACACAATTCTGGGGGCTAGAAGTTTAAGATCAAAATATCTAAAGAGTTTCTTCAGAGACTTCTCTCCTTGGCTTTCAGATGACTATCTCCATATGTCTTCCCTTATGGAGGTCTTTTTATTAAGGTCTTTTTTCCTTATTGTCTATGTCCCAAGCTTTTACAAGGACACTTGCTACAGTGGATTAAAGCCCATCCTAATGACTTCATTATACTTCATTAACACTTTAAAGACCCTATCTTCAAATGTAGTCACATTCTGGTAGTAGGGATTAGGACTTTAACAAAGGAGTTTTATGGGATATAGTTCAGATGATGAGGTGTTTCAGCACAACCTCTAATTATTCACTGACTGATCACTTATAATGACCCAAGGGAGACCCCTAGGAAATCAGTCTTAAAAATAAAATAAAGAATTTAAAAAATGAAAAACTTGAATAGGTACATCAGAAGCCACACATTGCAAGGGAGACAGACTCCACATAATTAAAATAGGCAAGTCACTAAAAAGACAGCAATAGCTACCACTCCTGGGAGATGCACAATGAGAATCTAAAGTTGTTACAATATATCATCTAAAATGTGCAGTTTTCAACAGCAAAATTACACAAAGAACTGAAAATAGTAACCCATACACTTGAAAGAGATCACTTGATAATTTTCTGAGAAGAGGACAAATGATGGCCCTAACAAAGAAAGATTCAAAAAAACTAAAGAAAATATTCTTTTTTTTTTGGCCAGTGCTGGGTTTGAACACACCACCTCCGGCATATGGAGCCAGCACCCTACCCTTTCAAGCCACAGGCACTGCCCTAAAGAAAGTATTCTTGAAGAATTAAAGGATGATAATAATGACTTATCAAATAAGAATATCAATAAAAGTTGAAAATTATTAAAAAACAAAATGGAAATTCTAGAGTTGAAAAATACAGTAAATGAAATGAAAAACTCACTAGGGGGATCCAGTGATTTTAGAACTGACAAAAAACAAAAGATAGCAAACATTGAGATAGGGAAAAAGAGATCTTCTAATCCAAAGGATAGGAAAGATCTAAAAGAATAGAACCATAGAAACTTTTGAGACCATCACATGTATAATGTGAGTCCCATAAAAATAGGAGGGATAAGATAATGGCCAAAACTTTTCCTAATTGATGGAAAACATTATTTAGTACATCTAAGAAACTCAATTATCTTCAAATGGATTAAACACAAGAGACCCCCTCCTAAATACCTCAATGTCAAATTGATACAAAAGAAAATCCTGAAAACAACAAGAAAAAAATCACTTTTCATGTACAAAGGAGCCACAATAAGATCAACAGCTGGCTCTGAACTAAAATAATGGAGGCCAGAAAGAGAAAACAGTCAGTCAGAAATTCTATATCCTTTATTAAACTATCCATCAAAAATTAAAGTAAAATAAAAACATACACAGATGAAGAAAAGACAATGTATTGCTAGCAGAAGTATCTTACAAGAAACAAAAGGAAGTTCTTTAGACTAAAAGGAAGTAATATCAGGTGAAACTCAGATGTACATGAGTAAAGAGCACTAGTAAAAGTAATTATGTAGACAATTATAAAAATCAGTATAAATACATCATTTGTGTTTTCTAAAGACAGATGAATTGCTTTTGCTCACACTGGTAATACAGGATAATCTCCTTAATTTAAGGTCATTTGATTAGTAACACTAATTCCACCTATTCTAACTACTCAACTCCACCTTTTAGCAAGAAATCATCCATACACAATACATAATAGATGCAGCTTTGTTCCAATAAAACTTTATTTACAAAACCAGGCAGTGAGCCAGATATGGTTCAAATGTCAGTTTGCCAGACACTGCTCAACAGATAAATATTTTTCTCTTAAATTTTAGAAGATGAAATTACAAAAACAATACTTATAAGACCATCTTGTTAGTTATCTAGCATATGTACATGACAATAATATACAAGGAAACAGGAAGAGAATAGAGCTGTATGTGAACAAAGTTTCTGTATTTTCTTAGAATTAAATTAGTATTCATCTGAAGCACATTGTGAAAAATTAAAATGCATTTGAAATGACTAAGAAACTCAAAAAAATGATAGCTAAAAAATCAACAATGGAATTAAAGTAACATACATAAAGTGTACTTTCTAAAAGCAGATAAAGGAAAAACACATGAGACATAAAGAAAACAAATAACAAAATGTTAGACATAAATCCATAGTAACATTAAAAGAAATTAGAACTATAACGAAACATTTTTAAGTGTGAACTAGAATGACTAAATTTTAAAATACTGACAATTCTAAGTGATAGTAAAGATTATAAATAATAAAATCTCTCATATACTCCCAGTTAGAATATAAATCATTGCAAAACTTTAAAAACATTTTGGGAATTATCCACTAAAAATTAAGATGTATATACCCTATGATAAGTAATTTAAGTCCTTGGTATATATAGAACACAAATGTTTGCACAAAAATACATACAAACAGATAGGCTTCCAAGAATATATCAATATTATTTGTAATATCCCCAGAGTGGAACCAACATAAATAGGTGAGTAGTAAACAAGCTGAGGTATATTAGTCCAATAAAATTCTACTCAGCAATTAAAAAGAATTATACCTACACTTAACAACATGGATGAACCTTACACATATACTGTTGAGTATAAAAAGGCAGGCTTAAAAGAATGCATACTTATTTATTTCATTCATATAAAACTGAAAACCAGGTAAAACCAAGACTAAATTACAGTGTTTAGGGAGGCAAGCTTAACTGAAACTAGAAAGAAAAAATAAGATTAATTGCCTAAAAGTCAAAATGGCAATTGCCTTGGAGGGAAGGAATAGCTGGGAAATGCCATGAGAGGATAGGGTAACTTGAAGTGCTGGCATCTCTTTATATTCAAGACCATGAATATTTGTATTACAAAAGTATGGAAGTATACCAAAGTTGTAAGTGATTCAGTAGGAATTAAGAAAATAGGATGAAGTGGGAATGTGACCGAAATAGAACAAATGGCTCTTTTAAGATTTTATTCTATAAATCCAACTATTACTTACATTTTTTAAAAAAATTATCCATTACTTGTATATAATTTTAAGAAACATGATTTATAACAGGTTAATTTTTTTCCAGGGTCAAACACATGAAGAATCTCTTACATCTGTTGTTGAGGAAGATGATTTACCAAATGTTTAGAAATCTGAGAATTTTGCTGATGCCTGGTGTGGGGCCTAATAATATCTCTGTATAACAAAGCTGCTCTCACAAATTTTGTGCAAAATAAACTACTAAACAAGTTGAATTTTTCTCCTCAATATTCAAGTCTGCACACATTTTTCTAGACTCCAAGGAAAGTTTTTCCTTGTTATCTAGGCACTCTGAATAACTCTCCTTAACAGAGCTTTTTAGAGAAGCTAAAACGATTGATATTAGATCTGGAGTATAGGCCATCAAGTCTTGGAGTGTGATGTATAACTCAGGAACACTTTAAGTAATTTATGTCCCTATAAGTAGAAAGCACATTTCACACTCTGACTTCTATACAATCTAGCTTCTGCCTCAACAAAGTATAAATCAGAAAACTTCCAATTCATATTATTCTTCTTTGATTTCCACTCTTCTCATTAAAGTTCCTTTCTGCCCTCAACATCTCTGCTTTCTTCCCCTATATCCCCATTTCTTACTTATCACTATTTAGATCATCCTTTTCAACTAGTTGCTTTTCAGAACAAACATATTTCTTTTGCACAATAAGAATTTCCCAGAAATCTGTTCTGAACTCACTCTCTCTTCTAATGTGGAACATTACTTCAGAAAGCCTTGCTCAGCAATAATAATTATGTGTTGTTTGTTTCTCAAGATGTTTCACCAATTATATAATACTTTAAGGTTTCTTGATTTTAAGAAGGTCAATACTTAGTTCATTTCTTTTAGAATGTCTACTTGTATGCCAAGGAATATATTAAACTCTGGAGTATCAAAGATTAATAAGGCATCTAATGACAAGGAGGTTTTACTTTATGAGAAGAAACAAGTAACAAATCAAGACTGTGCAATACATGAATTAACATAAATGTGCAAAAACAAAAATAGAAAAAAAGAAATAATGGTCCTTCTGATATGAAATTAGAGGGAATAGCTTTATAAAAGACCTCTGAGCAGGTGATTAGTAGTTTACTAAGCAGAAAGGTTGAAGGACATTCTAAACAAAAGAATTAGCTCATCAGAAATAAGGGAAATAACATAGCTAAAATAAATCGTACACATTAAAACATAATGACAATGAGGAGGAGGTTAAGAGTGAAGGCTGGAGAGGTAGGGAAAGGTCAGTTGACAAGGAGATAAAAAATCAGACTCTGCATTAGAAGAAAGTGTGGGGAAAACTCTTGAAGAAATAGGCCTGGGTGAAAATTTTATGAGGAGGTCCCCCCAGGCAATTGAAGCAACATCAAAATATACTACTGGGACCTCCTCAAATTAAAAAGCTTCTGCACAGCCAAGAACACAGTAAGAAAAGTAAGTAGACAACCCTCAGAATGGGAAAAGATATTTGCTGGATATACTTCTGACAAAGGTCTTATAACCAGAATCCACAGAGAACTCAAGTGTAGTAGCAAGAAGAGAACAAGTGATCCCATCACAGGGTGGGCAAGAGACTTAAAGAGAAACTTCTCTGAAGAAGACAGACACATGGCCTATAGATATATGAAAAAATGCTCATCATCCTTAATCATCAGAGAAATGCAAATCAAAACCACTCTGAGATATCATCTAACACCAGTTAGATTAGCCCATATCACAAAATCCCAAAATCACAGATGCTGGCGGGGTTGTGGAGAAAAGGGAACACTACTACACTGCTGGTGGGAATGCAAACTAATATGTCCCTTTTGGAAAACCATATGGAGAACACTCAGAGATCTAAATATAGATCTACCATTTGATCCTGTAATTCCTCTGTTAGGTATATACTGAGAAGACCATAAATCACGCTATAATACAGATATCTGTACCAGAATGTTCATTGCAGCCCAATTCACAATCTCTAGGTCATGGAAGAAGCCCAAGTGCCCATCGACCCATGAATGGATCAATAAATTGTGGTATATGTACACCATGGAATACTATACAGCCACAAAGAAAGATGGAGACCTTGCCTCCTTCATATTTACATGGATGGAGCTGGAAAATGTCCTCCTTAGCAAAGTGTCTCAAGAATGGAAGAAAAAGTATCCAATGTACTCAACACTATTATGAAACTAATTGTTAGCTATCTTAGGAAAGCTACAATCCAAATGGAGCCCTAGACTACGGGGAAAGAAGGGGAGGAGAGGAGGGGGAGGATGGGTGAAGAGAATGATATTGTGGGGATCATGCCTATAGTTTATTCTATTTGGATACAGGTGAATTTGTCTAAAGGTTGAATATAAATGTCTTAGCATAACAATTATGAGAAAGACATGATGGCTATGTTGGCCACCTGGATGAGAGTTTTCCAAACTGCATATGGAAGTAACACACTGTATCCTACGAGAGAATTAATGTACACAATTATGATCTAATAAAAAAAAAAGAAAAAAAAATCAGACTCTGATGACTAAGTCCTGAACTACATCTTGTAGACAGTGAGGAGCAAATTAAGAGTTTTTAAATAGGAAAATAATAGGCTTTAAGTTACATTTCAAAGAAAAGTATGAAATAGGGAGAATGCAAGTGGAATGTGAAAAAGAGTATTAATTACTATTGCAGAGAATCAGAGAAGCAAAGAAAAAGAGAGTAAATTTTACCTTTGTTGGACAATAAGCATAAGCATAAGGTGTGAAGGAATCCAAAATAATCCACACGTTTCTGGATTTGGTAACACCTGCAGTGATATGAAACATAGTAGACATAGCAAGATGGGATAAAAAAAATAAATTCAGTATTAGGTGAGTTTGAAATAACTAACATCAAAGTAGAAGTATCAATTAAGCAGTTAAAAATACAAATTTAGAGATTGGGGAAAGATTACCTATAGAGATATTGGTTGTGATGGTAATCAAGAATATTAAGGAGGTGACTTCTCTTGGATGGCATAATAGGAGATAATCTACTCTTACCCACTAACAAATAAGACTTCTTTACCCATTCACAAAGTTTCTCTACAGGAACCTCAGAATTCAGGTAGCAGTTCATTAAATCCCACTAGAGCCCAAGATCTCAAAGGGTCATTTTGAGATTTCAGACCATCACTCAAGTGTCAGATCTGCCAAGTTTGCTTCTGGAAATGGCCTAGTCCCCAGCGGATCAGGGCTACAACCCCATTTGACCTTGAGCCTATAGCCAAAACCATATGCCAAAGGTGCAGAAGGAGTCACACTAGTGCAGTGACAAAAAGGTTTGTATACCTACTGACATTCATCTTGGCAATGAACCTTAAAGTTGCTCTATGGCTTTACTCCAGACTTTCTCAGCTGAGGTCCCAGCAAAGAATTGTTCAGACAGGGACAGAGAGGGTCGCTCATCCATATCTCACAGATCAGGAGCCTAACCCTCCCTTAATGGGCTCATCAGCCTCTAACAACATATCCCGAGGTAGCCTAGTCTTAGCTCCAGCCCCTCTCACTTCAGTCAAGGAACTATCCCATCTGTGCTGAGACCTGCCAGGCTGATGTAAGGAGTTCTCCACCCTCCATCCCACAGGAGAGCCCGGGTCCCATCAATGCAAAGGCAGGTATTCATTCACAATCATCTCCTTGGTTGCATTATTGTGGTGTCCCAGTGCACCACAGTGGAAGCAAGTGGGGCAGAGTAATACCCAACCTTCTCTATCTATGTTAGGCCCCTTCTGGTGACACTTTTCTCAGATGCCCCAGTTTACCATTGCTGAAACACATCTGGCCAGACTTTACACTACTACCAGAAGATAGGTGTCTCTTTTGATGATCTTGTACTGGGCCATGGGTGTTGGCTACAATAACAGCTCCTAACAATTTAATTTTTGGCATTCTGTACTTGCCTAGTCCAGGTCACAGTTGTTGAACACTGAAGTGGTCAAGTGCAGTAGCTCATTTGAGTCACTTTGGGGTCCTAGTGCCTTATGCTGGAGTTTCCTACAGATTTCAGAGGCCGATTAGTTAAACTTCCAAATTATATTATAGTTTAAACTTCTATCTACAGGCCAGAATTCCTTATGTGGTAACTGATGTTGAGGCCAAACTGTACTGCAAAAGAAAATTAACTTAGACTTTCAGAGGCTTTATAATCTAAGGGTCTTCTAGTTTTTTAAGAGGCATTCCATGGGTGAGTTAGAGGGCACAGAAGCTACTTATCTCATAGTCCTCTGTGTGAGAGTGAAAACAGAACATTTCTGCTCCCCAGGAATCTCTTAGGTGCAGAGTGCCTTCACAACTCCAGACAAGCACCCCTATCTGGTAAACCAAGCCTCTCTCTAGGGATGTGTGTAGGGCTCTTGGAGAGGTTATGTAAAAATAATCTTTCACAAGGAATGTCGTATGAGGCCACTTTATTCCCTGTGATAGCTACCAAAGTAGTATTATAGCATTGCCACTGGGACCAGACATGTCTTTTATCCTTCTTACTCCTCACACCTCCATGGGGAGTTGACTCTCCTCCTTCCCTCTTTTTCTGATTGCCTCCCAGTTCACTTGGACCTCTATAGGTGTCTGTAAATAAAGTCTCTGATTTGCAAAGAAATGGGAGCTGGCCTGTGGACATAACTTGTCCCTTGAGGGCATTAATAAAATCCTTTAATACAGCTCTCTTACCTCTTATAGTGTTGGGGGGATAAGCCCATCTCATAAAAGTGGGGGACTTGCAAAGAGTGAGGTGTCAGAAAAAGATTCCCAAAACTTAACAAGTGGAGAAGTCTCTAGACAAAATACATCGGTTGTGGTGAAAAGGCAAAAAAAAAAAAAAAAAAAAAAAGAAGAAGAAGAAGAAAAGAAAGGATAATTCTCTCTGGGCTAACACTAAAGGGAAAAGAAATCAATCACCAGAGGAAAAGTGGACAAGACTGTTTGTACGGCACTCTGTGAATTCCAAGTGAATCCTCCACACTCACTTCCCTCTTCCCTCTCCAGGATGCCATGTTGGATCTGCCATATTGGATCCTCCATACTCCTCTTGCAGGAAGCCATGTAGCCTCCCTGCTCCCCTTTCTGGGATGGCATGGAAGCAATATGGTCTCCTTGTTC